CATGCCCAGCTCCCCCGGGCACACCCCCCCTCCCCCGGGGCACCGCGAGAACCGGGGTCGCTCCTCCTCGGTCCGGCCCGGGGAGACCCACCCTCTGCTGACACCGGGCACAGCCCGAGGCTCAGCACAGCCTCTCCCCCGTCGCGGCCTGGGGCTGCTTGTGGGTGCCGGGGCCGCCCCGTAGCCACCGGGGACTGACCATGCCTGCCGGAGGCTGCCCGTGCCCACCCGGCACTGCCCGTGCCCACCCGGGGCTGCCCGTGCGCACCCGAGCAGGAGACCTGGATCTGCCCTGTGAGAGCCCAGACCCCCCATCAGCTCCGGGCACTGATCAGGGGTGCGAGGGCACCCGCAGGGAAGGGCACCCCGAAGACCCCTCACCTCGTATCCCCGGGCACCCACAGTGGGACACAAGCCTACCCAGACCGGCCCCTGCCAGCCCCGGCCAGGGGGTCCCTCAACCCGGCCGACAGGAGTGGCACCGGTCTTCCCACCAAGTCGGTGTTGCGGGGGCTGCAGCCCCGGGCCAGTGCGCAGCAGCCTGACAGAGAAACTGTCTGGAAAGCAGCAACACAAGGAAAATCCATCAGCCCAGTTTCAGGTTTCAGGAGAGAGACTTCCACCAAGGAGAAAAGGTGAGAAGTGAATTGCAGTTCATCTCAGCTTCGGTTGTTCGTAAAAAACAATACACTCTTGTCGCTGGTGTGCACGGGACCATGCCAAGAGCAACGCAAAAGCCGAGTCAAGAGCAAAGAGCAAAAGCAGCATAACCCAAACTGACCTGGATCCTCCACACCTCAGAAGGGGTCTGGGCAGCCCCGGGTAGGAGCGGGTCCTACAGCTCCTTACAGAGAAAAGGAAGTCCCTCGGATATCATGATTGAGATCATGAAGCATTAGCAATCGCACAGGAAGCAGTCACCTTGGTAACTGAGATGCTGAGAACAGCCCAGAAAATCTGGCACAGGGCAGGTTTCTCTGTTAAACTGGGTTAGTTTTGCAGGGCAGATGCCTGGCTGCAGCATCGTCCAGAGGCAGCAACTCCAGTTGAGCCAACCGCAGCCTCTGGCCCCAGGAGCTGCCACCGGGGAACACTGGCCATGAGGCTGCGGGA